GTATCTTGCATTAAGATTTCTAAAAACAAAGGATGTATGAAAGGAAACTAATGCATCGGAACTTCAACAAGTAGTAGCTAGGATTGAAGAAACTTTTCAAAACAAGGTCATATGTCTAGGATCCTTTATATATAGGCGCCTATGACAAACCGATTTTTTTCAGTATAGGAACTGCACTTGACAGGCACCGAGCTTAGACAGGACAGTGAACATTCTTAGCAAACGTACGGTGAAAATTACCTATCATCTTCTTAAATTTCGCCCTACAATCTTAATCTTCGCCTTAAGGGGCTACTCCATGCGAACGACCTTGAGCATTTAGTGTGCCGCGCCGACTCGCTACAATATATCGCGTAAGAAATATGTAAGACGCCACCTACTGTACGAACGTAGTATTTTTTCAACATCAATAAACTATTTTATGGAAATACACACAGCGTACAACGATAAATGTATTTTAATTTTTTTATTCGGTATATTAGTTGCATTATATTAGAATTATGTATTTTCATATATTATCTAATTATGAAATTTTATAATTAATTATATATTAAAAATGAAGCATTGAAAATTGTGAGTTTAAAAGATACCTATTCACTATAGGTAAATAGATAGATACAAATATTTGGTGCAATAAAGAATAAATAAATAAATAGGATGTTTCGCAGAGTGAGAGTAATATAGAATGAGAGTCGTGGAGGCAGTTTACAAACATAAATTGCACAAGGACAAACATCCAGTCCTGGAACAATTATTTGTAGGCCTTATAAATACTTGTTCCGTGCGGGATTCGAACCCGCGGCCCCCAGCGCAACAACTGATTGCTAAGCCACTGCGCCACGGAGCCGTCGCCGGGTTATAGGTAAAGTGACCATATGTCCCGTTTTGAAAGGGACTGTCCCTTTTATCGGTCACCTGTCCCATTGTCCCCAAATGAAGCTCCGGGACACAAAATTGTCCCGTAACTCGTTGGATGGAAGTATTCAAAGCCAACAATCTTCAACGTAATTTTTTTAATCGAATATACTCGTATTTTATGTCTACCTGGTACAAATGCTCCAGTAGAAAGAGTATTTTTCTATTTTGAATAAATTTTGGACGTTTGAAAAAAACACTTTCGATTCCAGTTCTAAAGGCGATGTTGTTAACAAAGGTAACAATAAAAAAAAATCTTGTCCAGAATTTTATTCTTAGTTAAAATCATCACCAACTTTATTAAACCAAATTTAATCCACTGACAAATGTAATTAATAATTTTAAAAAAATGTTACATTTAATAATTACCGTCTATACCGAATATAATTTTATAGTGAACACTAATTGTATAAACTTACAGTTTTTAGAGTATAAATAAACCATGTCCCGTTTTGAGTTAAAAAATAAATGGTCAGTTTAGTTATAGAGTCGAGTAATAACCCGCAATGCCGCAGATAGGCCAACTTAGACGCCCGGGCCGAATTAGTCGCCTATAGGCTGACTTACCCGAACGGGCCTTATTAGACGACCATAAACCAAATTAAACGCCCAATTCAAACCAAACCTTACATGCTAATGGTGCTTAATTTTTATATTTGCATTTACTTCAAAGAAAATACACGCAAAAAGCTTCATCGCGCAGTAAAAAACACAACAAATATATGTATAACTAATACGAAAAATTATACCCAAAACAAACAAATAATACTACCTATAAATTACCTAATAACTAATAATATTATAATATTATCGACTGATAAGATGACGTGAGCGTGTGCGCTGGCCGACGCTCTGACTAACGACACGGGTTTCACGTTCAAGAGCTCAGCGCTCACCATAGATAAGAGTGTATATATGGCGCTCACTGACTCCAGCAAGCCCGTGGGCAGTGAATACGCCCAGATTTTAAAATAATTTCTTAATAAAATCAAATATTGGTCTTTTGAAAAAAAATTTATAATAGAAATGTTCATTAATAAATTGCCTATCCATTGGTGTAAATCGCAAAATAAAATAATACTTACTTTACGAGGAGATGCATGTTATCAATAATTATTTCACATTTATGTGGTTTCGTTGTAAGGAGATTATATTAATATTTATTCCTTTAAAAAAAATTGGATATAGCTCTTATGGAATCAAGATTATGTAGAAATATAATGTGTTTTTATTTGTTGATATATCTTTTAAATAAAAAGTAGATAGCTCCTAAAACCCGCACAAATAACGACTAGCGCGATTTTGCTCAACCTGCGCCTTAAACTTCACAAATATAATATTGTACATATTCGTTGTAAGTATTCATAGGTAACGTACATTGCTTTAAGAAAAAGATACCTAAATCGTATTGAAGGACAAACTTACCTATGCTGCCTTTGCAGTGGAAAAAATGGGTTTACATCAAAGTCGATCCATCTGCAAATGTTACTTTGTAACCGTCTCAGAGCGGAGTATTCTTCTGTCGTAAACGTAATAAAATGTATTTTTCTAGGATATAAGACTTATTATTGGTCTGAAGTTATGACTAAACATTAACAATTTTCCGTTTTTGTCCTTTACTCATGCTACGGGACATTCCTTCTACATGCAGAATATGCCATATACCAGTCCCTACAGAATATGAGAGTGGATCGATAAATACCTTCGCTGTGCTGGAACGCTGTAGAAAACCAAGAAATATGCTCTTTAGAAATGAAATAAATTTTACGATTGTAGAGGAATGCCACCTATTTACTTAGGTCTTGATGGAAAGGCGTGCTAAGAGACTTATTGGTGACCCAAATCTGGTTAAAACCAATCTCACCATTCTCAAACACAGGCGCATAGAAACCAGCCTTTTACTGAGGGCTAAAATTTTCTGCTCACCAGATGTCGCTAGTTGACACTGAGGTAAAGTTTTTTGTTTCACAATGCGATTTAATTGAGAAGTTGGTTTTTAATAAAAGTTTATCAATGTCTAGAGTATTAAATGAATACACAGAACAATGCGTCAGTGGTTTGCTCTTTAATTTTTTTGCACATTAATAACTTTTTTTAATTTTTCTACTTGTATGAATATCTGTGTTTGGTTTATTTATGTTTAATATTATTAATATAAAATATAGCTAATAGTGCAGAAAGATATAATAACCTTTACATTTTCCGAACAAATTAACTTCCCCGCTATGAAATCTGTCAAATATTATACCTCACTTTCTAGTGGCGCTGCCCTGGTGGCAGAAAAGTCGTGGGTGCCCTCAATTTCTACAGAATAAATTTCGGAGTGTGTGCAGGGATTGCACTTTCCACCATCGGACGACTAACGACTTACCACGTCGCACGTTGCCTCGGCCGAGCGCCGGTCGACCGCGAGCCATACGTTGTCGGTAAACTTGACTGACTTGACATGAATGTTCGCTGTTGCTGTTGTTGGTGTGTACGATGGTATTTTGGTTCGCGAGGCTATAGTGTTCGTTTTAGTTTTACTGAAGTCATTTTAATTATATAAGGATGAGTCGATTCGTTTAATTTAACTGTACGGTACGTACAAGATGCTGTGGGATCCAAAATACTGTTTTCGTTTTTTTAAACAATAAGCAACTAGGAAAGTAGCTGCAGCTGCCATTACACAACTGTCCATTTCGGATGCTCGAGGAATTATGATGGCTCGGCCTGCCTCGTGAGGCATACCTCTGAGTTCCGGACAATAATATTGAGGCTGCCTCGTGAGGCTTCGCTCGCGAGCCGCACACCGAGGCTGCCGCGCGAGCCTGCGCGCTAGGTGGGTACCCGACTATCTACGTACAGCAAAGGAGTGAAATAAGTAACGAACATTTGTCTTTCCATCCTGCCATAGGTGGCTTAAAGCAGTGCGGTTTACCATCTTCGACTGCATCAGCACTTACCATCAGATGGTACAGTCAAGCACTGGCTTAGGATAGTAAAAAAAGAGGAACCAAATTGTCATGATTTTTTATTAAAACACACATAATATGTATTGTGTTGTCAACTACATATTCATCAACGTAGGTATATTAAAGTCAACTTAACATGATGTGAGTGTTTGTTTCACGTATTTAGAAAGTCCCTCAGAGCTTTCTGAGAACTGCTTACAAATACTAAAATTATATATATATATATATATATATATAGTCAACTATGACCATCTTTGTACGGACTTGGCATATGAATGATTTGCAGTAAATTATATTATTTTGAAAATTGAAAGGTTTTTTTAATCTTTTTTGAATACCAATCCCTATATCTAAGTCTGATTTGAAAATAACTCCTTCAGTTACCATCATCCTATTTGGGCCCATTTTTAGTCTTTATAACGGACAAGCCGTGAAGTTACTTATTAGATATGCTCATTATCAAGAAAGCTCACGTATTGTGAGTAGCAACTACGAAACCCTACCTCTACATTGTGCGTGGCACTTGGCCAGTTTTTTTTTAAACTAAATATTCAGTTCCTACAGTCTTAGCTGTTTGGTGAAGCTCCCTTAAATGTACCGTTCATGCAGCAAGAGAAATTTGACTATACATAATATATTATTTCTCTCCATAAATTTTCTTGCGTTTGTTTGTGACATTGCAAGTCCTTCGGGAACAACCTAACTTATTATACCGCTAGGTATCTATGTGAGGTCAGTTAATTTTCCTAGAATTTCTAATAGCTTTTTTGCGAAATCTACGGTAATTAAATATCACCGTCATATAACATGAAATAAGTGAGATAAAAGACCGTTATTTTTGCGGATTTAAAATGTTATTTAACAATAATTTATAATCTAAAATGGTACATACACTTATTAATAAAATATTAATATTAATTTTGAGAAACTAATTTCGCAAAAAATATAACAGCATTTAAAAATATTCTATTTTTGAAATTATTTAGCTTTATTTGTCACGTATGTCACGTTTTTTATATTGCGTGAAGTTATTTCAATAGGTATCAATACAATTATTGCCAGTGTCTTTGTACTATAAAACACATTGAGCCCTCATCAGATTTACACTTGTCTTCAATAAACACTGAAAATATGTTTTCCAAAGCCATCATTCTTTTCTGCGCTCAAGTAATTTTCGTGCAGGTAAGGAATTAAAACTTGAACGTTGTGTGCAAGTTGTTTTTCTTTAACCAACCAATACAATATAACACTAAAAATTTATAAATAATGTATAATGTAATTTTTAATTACTTAGACGATCTCTGCCTACTGCCTAGGCAACGGACTGGCCTACGAAGCTCCTCTGGCTGCCGCTGCTCCCTGCGCGGCCGCCGCTACTCCTTGCGGAGGTTTAGGCTGGGCTGGTTACGGTGCCGGCTGCGGTCTAGCTGCCATCCCCACAACCAGCGGAGGGGGTTTCCCTGTCTCCAGTGCTTCCCCCATTCCACCCGTTGGTGTATCCGTTCTCTCTGAGAACGAGATCGCAGGTATCTTGGCTGTCGGTGGTGAACTACCTTTCCTGGGTACCGTTGGTCTAGAGGGTGTACTTCCAACTGCTGGTGCTGGTGCCGTCTCTTATGGCTGCGGCAATGGTGCCGTAGGAATAGTGAGCGAAGACATCGCCCCTGCGTGGGGCTACCCTGCAGCTGCTGGCTTAGCGTATGGACCAGGTCTTGCTGCAGGAATCGGCTACGGTCCCGCTATTGGTGGACGTCCCTTCGGCAGCTGCGGATGCGGTATCTACTAAAAAAAATTATCGTTGACTGAGATTTTTTACCATTAACGGAAAATAAAAATTTGACTTCAAATAATATCTTTTCATTTGATTGTATAAAAAACAACAGTGCTTGAAAAAATAAATTAATTTATAAAATATTTGCACTAAAAGCCAATATTCGAAAATATATATAAGATGAAGATATAAGTTTTATTTATAAGATGAATATTTGTTCTATTTTATATATACGGCATATTTTGCATATCCGGCGGGGCTGGAAGTCCTGGTTTAAAATAAAAACGCTTTTTAGATTCAACATCATCATCATAATTACAGCCCTTCACAAGTCCACTGCTGAAGATAGACTCCCCCAAGGAATGCTACAAGGACGGTCTGAGGAGGCACCTGCATCGACTTTCTATTTTGATTATGATAAAACTTACTATATAAAAATCCGGTGACAATCGTTCACGCTAATCTCCAAAACCGCTCAAGCGATTTTAATGAAATTTTGTAAATATATATTGCTTGCTCCAACTTGAAAGATGGATAATATTTACTCCGAAAAGTAACACTGCCCTGTAGTGAGGCGGGACAGCAGTCCGGATGGCGAGTGAGTAATAGATGGAGATACGATTTACGAAAACTCGACTTTATTGTACGATACGTTACACTTTACAATAATATAAGCTGTACTTCGCTCTTACAGACAGCTTATAACGTCAAGTTTCACGAGGGAAGCAAAAGGTTTGCCACCTCTGTAGGAGCGTTATTCCTTAACGTTCAAATATACTGTCCTACCAGGTGGAAGCAACTATTTTGCGATCTTGGAATCCTTAGGGAAGCTATTTAAATATATAAACAATTTTTTTTTTCTGAAAGTGTATGCTGCTGGCCCTGCGGTCTTTACAGCTTCATCGGAAATAGACTCGTAAGTGAGGACCTACGAGCTAGTCAGTGCAACGATTCTGCCGGTAAAACTTGCTGTGATTTATCTACCTACAGCGCTATCTAGTTTCGTTTGTGGGAATTAATGATGTAATGTTACAACCATGAAGCAAACACAAAGAGGAGACGTTGTAATTAAATTTCACTATGTAACAACGCGTGACAATTTGCGAGGTGAGGGGATGCAAAGCCCCGTCCACTTTACACTATCTACATCTACTGATAAATAGTAAAACTACTCGAATCTTTCCATATCGATGTTGCAATGTAGCTTAATTGTTGCAATGTACCTTGACGGTAGATGGCGGCATGTCCACAAAATGTTATAAACTATAAAAATAATATTTTGGCGATTAAAATGTCTTTATGTCTGAATGCAAAACAAATTTCAGCACCTTCGTATGATTATTTTATCATTACTGAGCTCTACGTACCATTATATTTTAGTTCACAGGACACAGAGTGCCGCCATCTAGTGTGGAATATATTTAATTATATTTGAAAGTCGACGCAAAGAGATTTTCTAGAACTATTTTAATAAATTTGATGTAAAATTACTTACATATGAAATGTGATGCCATCCATAGCATCAAAGCGTCTATCTGAGAAGTTTTTACGCGATAAAACACAACACTTCATCCTTTTCTTCTTAATACTACGAAAATACACCGATTTGCGATTTTTTCAACACATAAGCGCACAGGACGAATGCTGACAGTATACTAACTAAAGTCACGCCCACTATGATGACGTCAGGACCTACTTAGAATCACAGTGCACAGTTGCTTATGCCGTCTCCCCTTTGTATTAGCTTCATGGTTACAACCCTCAATATTTTAATTGCGAATTTAAGGATTTTTTTATAGAACAAAAGATCGTCGGAAAGGTCAAAACGGCTGCCTTGCCAACTATTGCGATTATAAATATTATAGTATTTTAATAGGTAACGTGATGGTTAGTGGAAGAGTTATCTCGATGTTTTAGGATACCTATATATAAGTATATTTTTGATATACTGACAATAGTTTTCTAGAATATTTTTATTTATAATAACTGGAGGTTGGAGTGGAACAAACAACCCCACTACGGGCTGGTTCAAATTTAACCTCAACAGCTAGTGGGCCGCATTAATTGTAACATATTGTTGCGCACCACAATTAATGCCACTAGCACCCTCTAGTATCGCGTAGCAGAACTAGAAGAGTCAAGAGCCTTTTAGAAATTTCCATGGAAGAACTTTCTGGAACTATCGAGGCCTACTACCTAGTCAATCGGGGCCGATATGTACTCGAACATTCTAGATGTTTCTACAGTAGAAGGTTCTGGAAACTACCTGGGGCCGGTATAGACCGCGACCGAGGACTGCCTCGGTATTCAATACTGTTGAATTGGCGATATAAGCGAATACTTCGAAGCGATACAACTGCGAACTAGTGATCAGTAGTACCTACAATTGTGTTTTATTATTAGTGTGGTTTTAAGTTGTAATTAGTGTTCTGTAATTAAAGTGTCAATTTTGGTAATTCAATCGGCAGTTTTTAACTGTCTGGAACCCCAAACTCGTAACAATTGATTTGATTCCACTTCTGACACCAGAAGTGGGATCAAATCATGACGATTTTACGAAAGGACGACATGGAGGGTATTCGTACCCGAAGTGGAGACGGACCAGAGACGATTTAGTAATGCAACGCCGCAAACGTCGAAGGGCCAGCTGCCAACCACGGAGGCCGGTCCGTCAGCAGCTCCTGCATCTGCAGCACCTGACTCAGGTGCTCTGATGATAATGCTGCAGGAGCAGGCTCGCCGACAGGAACAGAAACAGGCCCGACGGTTGGAAGAGCAGCTGCAGCGCGATAAGGAAGAGCAGATGATCCTCATGAAGGACCTTCACGCTACCTTCGAGAAAGAGATGAGGGAGGTGAAGGATAGGGTTGCTCAATATGACAACCGCCTGTCGGTAGCTGAAATCCGAATCGCCAAATGTACAATCGGGTTGACAAAGTGATGGCTGACGTGAAGAAAACGCTGGACGACCTCAAACTTGGGGATGGAGTTACAGCTCACATGGTAACTACAACACCTTCGCTACGAGGTTTCAAAGTGCCGCCATTCGAAGGGACTTCTTCCTGGTCGGCCTACAAAATCCAGTTCGAGGCTGTCATGAAGGCGAACGGCTGGAATAAATGTCAGGCCATGACTGCTCTCACCCTAGGCCTGCGCGACCAGACCTTAACTGTTCTGGAAGCTCTCGGTAAGGAAGTGACTTACGAGCAGCTTCTTGAGGCATTGGAGGCGAGATATGGCGACGCTCCCCTGAAACACGTCTTTCGTGCGCAGCTTAAAGATCGCGTGCAAAGCAGTAACGAAAACCTGCAGCAGTGGGCCCTTGAGGTGGAGAAGCTGGTTCGAAAAGCATACCAGTCTGTACATGCGCTCATTGTAGGGAACCTGGTGCAGACATTCATCGATGGCATCCGTGACCTTGAAATCAGAGCTGCTGTGAGGCTCGGGCACCACGAGACGCTAAAGGACGCCTTGGGCCATGCGCTGAGGGTGGAAGCCGTGCGGCAGGACCATCATCCCCATCGCGTCAGGGAGGTGGTAGCAGCTATAGTCCGTGACCGCAATATAGGATATAGCCCTAGGTGCTACGGCTGTGGGGAAAGGGGCCATCTTCGCTCCAGCTGCCCTAAGCAAACTGTAGAAAGTGGAAGTGATCGATCTCGAGAGGGTAGTGCGGCTAACAGCACCGCCCAGCAGCAGCAGGGAAACGAGTAAAAGCCAGGACTGCGGGGCGGGTGCTGGCTGATGTTAAAAGCGCCCCAAGGATTTCGATCTCACAAACTCATGATGGGAACAGCCTCATCGTCAAGGGCAGGATTAACGGCACGCCGTGTAAGCTTATAAATCAGTTCCTTGGGGACTCCGCATACAACCGAGAACGCATTAATTTAGTGACAGCCATCGGTCAGCACATACCCGTCCGTGGAGAGAAGGCGATGGAGTTGAAGCTAGGCAACATGATCAGAAACAGAAACTTTTTTTATTCAATATAGATTATAAATAATTCTTATTGAAAGTCACCTCTGTCCTGGGAAGAACCAGCAAGAAACACAGCGGGACTTTTTTTAAAAAAATAACAGCTTACATACATGATGTTACACAAATTAACAACACAACAAATTAGAAATAGCTTGGTAGCGATCACCTCATTTCCAGGGGTTATTATCATCCATAAATTCCTTAATATTATAGTAACCCTTTTTATACAAACTTAGTTTAATAAAGTTTTTGAACTTTGAGCAGGTCAAACTTTGTATATTTTCTGGAATTTTGTTGTAAAAGCGTACACATCGCCCCAAGAATGAATTACTGACTCGATGGAGTCGAGTAACTGGTACTACTAGCTTGTGTCTGTTCTTTACAGAATGAATATCACTTATTTTTGTAAAACTACTTTTATTTTTGTGTACGTACATTACATTTTCATAAATGTATTGAGAGGCCAAAGTTAATATATTAATTTCCTTAAATTTTTGTCGCAGCGACTCTTTAGGCTTTAAATCATAAATTGCTCTTATGGCCCTCTTCTGTAAAACAAATATAATTTCAGTGTCAGCTGCGTGTCCCCATAGCAAAATACCATACGACATTATGCTATGGAAATAGCTAAAGTAAACTAGTCTAGCTGTTTCAACACTGGTTAGACTTCTAATCTTTTTTACAACATATGCTGCAGAACTAAGTCTGCTTGCTAGTTTTGATATATGGGGGCTCCATTGAAGCTTCGCGTCTAGTGTGATTCCAAGAAAAATGGTGGTATCTACAAGATTCAGTTTCTATCTCAGATCTACCTGCATAATGTCATTGTAGCTGATATAATGGAAGACTGCATCCTGGACCTAGACTTTATGAGGAAGAATTGTTGTGAGATCGAGGTTAAGCAAGGTGTTTTGAAATGTGGACAAGAGGAACTTTTCGTGGAAGTGGCGTTACCAGGGAATGTGTGGCCTTAAGAAGATTGTTCTGCCGCCGAGTTGTGCCGGTTGGTCTTCCTCGTAATTCTGGGTAAGCTCACC